AAAACATGTTTTGGTTCTGATTATCATGTTTATCGCGCTGAAATCATGTGTTTTAAACCATATGAGTTTAAACTGATATACGGTTTTCTGAGTGCTCACATTCGAAGCACACGGACAGAAAGCGGCCACCAAACAGCATGTGAGTACTAAACTAAGTTCTCATTCACACACAAGTTTACGTTAAAAACTTAGAACTGGTACACCGTTGTCGCTTGCGAAATCAAAATGACGGCGCCGTGGGTGGAAACTTACAGATTAAGGGGCGGTGATATTATAATGAGATCCCTTTGCAACGTCACTTGGGGAGTGAAATCAGACGCGCTCGTTTTCTCAGACTCTTGCTGAAAAAGGCTTCCCAAAACAAAGTTACTGGGTTAATCTTTTTCACGTTTCCTTGGTTGGTAGATGCACCGGAGACCTGATTATAGCACTTAAAACCTGTAAAAGCCAGATTTTTATGATATGTCACCTTTAAGTAAAAAGATGAGGTTTTTATGCATAGTTAATAGATTACACTATATGCTACTTTGCCCATCGCCCATTAGCCTATAGATCAACTAACATAATCTATAAAGGTGCATTTTATGCACCTTTAAATGCATTTTAAATGCATTTACTTACACACATATTTGAGAATTGAGATATTTTATGATATAGTTAACACGTTTGGGAATATTTCGAATAAAAAGGAAAAAAATAAAACATAAGCCTATATCAGTAATAAAGTGCTATAGTGGCTACTGTGTGTCACATGACGAGCATGACGAGGCCTCCCCCACCTTCACTCGTGCCCCCACAAAAATAATGAGTGCATGACTCCCCTGACACTACAATACAAAATTATTTGTCAGATAAATTAAATATGATGAAACACTCATTTTGAGTTTAAATTGTTATAGCTTACTTCTAGAGATTGCAGTGATATATATGACATGGTGAAAAATGACTGAATGAATAATACTGAAAGTAGGTTCAAATTAATTTTAAAAGTGTGCCCCCTAAAAAAGTGCAAAGTGCAAGTGGCCCCCTGTGTTCTAGAACCACCACTGGTAATACGTAATAGTGACAACGGTGCTTGAAATTTCTTTTGGCTTTGACAATTGCAAAATTCCATCCTGTGAATGTCAACAACAGAGATGAAAGAGCGGTCCACCACATCGATTACAGAAAATTACTGTGATTAGGATCAAAATTGTCAGCAAAGGAAACGTCGGTACATCCCCTTCATAATGAGCGCAGGGAGATAAGCACGCTCTGCCAAAACTATGACTAGATGTCTGATAAGACACACAGGTGTTACTGGCTCTGCATATTGTTTTTGCAAATAAAAAAAAACATACATACAAACACACGAACACACACACACACACACACATACACACATTGTAGGGTATACCTGAACCACACACACACACACACACACACACACACACACACACACACATTGTAGGGTATACCTGAACCACACACACACACACACACACACACACACACACACACACACCAATTATGCTGAAAAATTAGTGTTGAATAAAAAGCTTTCAAAATCCATTTTTTGTCATAATCCTTATTGGATAATGTTACATATCACCCCGGAGGATATCATAATGTTACATCTTACTCCAGGCCAGGGTATGCAATAACTAACCCGGTCTATGAAATGAATTGTAACATTTCACTCCTCGTGATTGAAACAAACATTTTCTGTTTGTGCTGCAAAGATAACAGGTACGCTATTTAATAGCAGACACTTGTAACTAGTTTGAATCATATTTTGAAGGCACTGACTTACAAGAACTCCAAGATACAGACAGAAATGTCAAACATGTTACAACCATCCCCGGTCTCCCCCTAATAATTATTAATATAAATATTTTAAAAAGAACTTTATGTCGTGTCTTTGGTTTTATCAATTAATAATAAAAAAAATAGATCTGAATTAAAAGGTTTATCAAAAAATAAGTAACTAACTAACTAACTGAATATATAAGTAACTAAAATAGTTGACATTTGGTTAAAAAGTTGATCTTCCGAGAGGCACTATAATTTTCACAAGACACCAGTTTAGATTTGTAGTTAAAGTTTGGGACATTTTGTAACGCAGCAAACCAGGGGAAGTGAAACAGACAGTAAAGTGTGTTCTACACCACTGTGGTA